AATAGTCTCCTTCACGGTTACCTGCGCCATCTTGAAAGGTAGCCGTGCCTTGTCATCGAAGCGAGACAACCGTTGAGCGTGCAATGATAGAAACCTTCTTTCACACCTATAGACAATTATTCACAGGTATCTATCATTGCACGCTCAACGGTCGTCTCGCTTCGGTGCAAAGGCACGGCTACCTTTCAAGATGGCGCAGGTATCCGTGAAGGAGACTATTGTGTAGTCTGTTAGGGCATTGGTACCCAATCAGTCTTCTGCTGAGTCAGTCAGGCAACTCTATTTTCCTTCTATAGGCTTCCTTTGGAACGGCCATATTGGTTACTGTATGAAATATAATATGCAATTTGTGTCTTCTAATATCATTAATTCATTCTCTCAGAATACAAGTTTGTGAGGTATATGTTTATTTCCTAAAAGTAATTTATTCTGAATTTCCATAAATTCATACATAAGAAGTATGGGAATGGGAGTTCTGCGCCACGGGTTCAACTGGCAGTCTGCTAGGTCAGCGGAACTTGAGACCCGACCACAATGGTTAGTACGGGTAGCGAGTATTGTGGTATGAGATAACATTATCAAATTCATATTTATGAACGTTTTGTACTAGTTAACGTGTACAAATACTGTACTAATTTATAAATATAATATACGGGTTTCTCAAATAATATGTAGGCCGCTATTTATCATGTACCCTCAATTCAACACTGTAATTTTTGCGCGCACCTTCAATTGCACGCGCAGAAAAAAAATTGATACGTCACAAAGGCATAACTCAACGAGAGAAAAATATAGTAGTTATCATTTTATAGCACAACAATGGGAATTGCATTAGGCCGGTGTTACCAAAAAGAGAAGACCAGTAGTTCGTCTAAGAGGTTGGTTTACACTCCTAAGGCAGTAGTAAGTAACTGCCAAATGTGATTGTACAAATGTGTGATGTACAAATGAGYTTCATGAGGTTTCTCTATTTTGAATAGAAATCTCGAGAAAGAGCTAGAAACGAATCGTCGTTGGATTGAGGCTTTGGAACAACAGATTGACCGTAAAATAAGGTATTTCTCATCATTGATCGTCACAATTTTATCTTGCCTTCGAGTTAAAATCTTTTGTAATGTTTAGACCTTCACTGGTCACGATAACTTGTGGAAACACATTAAAGAATTCCATAGTTCCGCATATTTTGGTACAATCGCCAGTACAGTGTTGTCAGGCCCAGTTTAAAAGTCCCTTAAACCTCTATTGAATTTCTATTTAGCGACCAACTCCTATTAAACGGCCGAATTTGAAAATTTCGAAGGTGACYGTTTCATAAAAGTACCGCTGTATACTCAATTATAGTGTAATTTAATATTCGACTTTCCAGAGAACTGAGCATGAGTAATGCTGACGTTCAGCTSGAGTTATCTAAAAACAAAGAATTGAGATCAAAACTCAATTCGTTCGAGAAAGAAACTGAAATCCTTAAGAGCATGCTAAAGAAGAGTGAAAACGAGGAAGAAAGGCTGAGGATGGAGCTCATTAGAGCGTACAAAGAACTAAGGTCAGTATATATAATCATTTTATACTCGTTCAGGGGCTGATCCTAAGTGGTACCTGGGGGCGATGCTAACTTTTGGGAAAATATACTACGACAGTTCGAAGACAGTGCTCATCATTTGGCCTCGGTCGCGGATATAATTTGTTTTCTCCTTAAATTAAATTAAATTCTCCTTAAATGATTAAATTTCTCCAATGTATTCTGCCCACTAATATATTCCAGAGCTGGATCCCCTTCCATCCTTGCGTGCAAACAATAGGCAATGTGCAGCGAAGCCATTKTGTGCAGAATAGCATCATGGTAGTTGTAGTAGTTGCATTCCTCGTACGTTTTCATGTCCGCTACAATAGTCCTTCTGAAATGTGTTTGCTTTTCCAAAGTCAAAATAAAAGTGTTCTTACAGGTGCTATCGGGAAAAGYTACACAAAGCAACCGATCAGTTAAAGAGCCATATTCTTCCAGGGGAATCTAAGAAGGTCAGCGAAGAGCAGCTCGACAAAAGTACCTTAGTGTAAAATCCATATTTTTAAATCAGTTTTTTACATATTTATTAAAGCTTTTCTTTATAAAAACTATAACAATCTAAATTTATCATCTTTATCCTTTTATTTTTCGCCTTKATTGTGCGTCACAATGAAACCGATTTGTTGGCTTTCAGTGACTGTGCGAGTTTCCATCTCAGTTATCCTAATAAACACTTTAAAGGGACATGGTCCACCAGCATTCAATGCGGTCGTGTTTCAGATTTTTCATATAATATGGAAAATTATGTAACTTGGAATATCCATCCACAATCTGTTTCCATCAATCGGTTTAAAGGTCGAACTTACAGTATCTCCATTGAATAGTATGATGATAAAGACTAAGTTTTTTTCTGAAATTACACGATGTATTTTTATTTCAAACGTGAGCAAAAGCTCCAAGAGGATGCTGGTGGACCATGTCACTTTAAAGAACAAAGCGCATCCAAGAACTTCCGTGCGATTTTTTTAGATACGAAAATCCGCCATCTTGGATTTGAATCAATCAGAAAACTCCTTTCAACAAGACAACATTTGTAAAACAAAAGAAACGATCGCAAAAAGTTCTTGGATGCACGTGGGACTTYAATTCTGAAATACTCGTTGCTTTCAAAAACAGTTCTGCCGCGCGAATACTAAGATATTTTCGTCGGATGAATTTGCTTATATGTTTTTGTTTGAAGACACCTATTTTTCATATGCACCTGCAATATATTGATCAAAGCGCAGACATATCTCTATTCAAAGAAACCCAAACTGTTTCAACATTATCAAAGTTACC